TATGATGAACAGTGACTTTTTTTTTTTTTTTTTTAAACAAGGCAGGCACAAACGGACAGATTTGGACTCGACTTCAACAACAAACAATGACCAGAATTTTTTTTTTTTTTTGAAACAAGGCAGCGGAATTAATGAAACTAAGACACAACTACGGATATAACGGAAGATACCTCCACCAAAGCTCTGAAGCCAACTGATACGTTCCTCGATCCACACGTTCGAGACACGTAGCACGTTTGCCCAAGGATCTAGCGAGGTTGTCCAACGCTTGGGTTGCGGAACCTAGAGTCAAACGGACAACACGATTTGACGTAGGTGGTAGACGACACTCCGATGAAGGTGAATACTCCAGGGGAATAGGTCGGTGGAACAATCAAGGACGATCACGAGATTGCTCAAGAACCCTTGCCAATGCAAGTAACGGAATTGTACTCTCCATCCAAGAGAAACAAGAACAAGTTTATTATCATAAAACGGCTTTCTTAAACCTTACAAAGCAAGCCTTTATATAGGCAAATACTAATGAAACCCTAAACCCTAATATCGAAAAGCTAGATGGTCGGCCACTCCTTGGACAAGGTGGGCCGATCCATGGACTCAATAAAGAAGGGCCTAGTGGTTCGGCCATCCTTAGACAAAGGTGGGCCGAATCCATGGCTAACAAAAAGGACTAATCTAAACTTAAGACTCCTAACACTAAGGCCTAATCGGCCATAGCCCACTTGGCTCTTCACGGGCTCTCTTCATGGGCTTGGATCATCGTGTAGACAACTGGGTTATCACCTTCTAAGCCTTCAATGTCTCGATGAACTCCTTGTTGGTCTTGAACATTCCGTACAAGGACTTGGAGTGATTCCCTGAATTCTTGGCCCGTGCACATGTGACTGGGCCCAATGGAACTCGGATTGGGCCATTGCGTGGGCCAAGGTCCGTGCACACATCAAATATCTTAACACATTGTAAAATAATATCACTTAATACAAAATTCCAACAAGTTGTCAAAAATATAATGCATTTACCGCACTTGCGGGTCCCACGTCCAAAATACGCTTTTAATTTCTCAAAAACTAACCGATACTAGAAAAATCATTTTAAAACTATTTTTGCTCATAAACTTTATCTGGGGAATTTTTCTAATCAAGAAAATGTAGAAAAGGCGGGCGTTAAAAAAAATAAACCCTAGAAAATTAGAAAATTTCCGGGTTCTCAAACTCATTTTTTTCAGGCGTCACAGAGGACATGATTCCATTTGGGTGATCGTCGATCGGTTAACCAAATCGGCCCATTTCTTGCCTGTAAACATGAAGTATTCCATGGGTAAATTGGCTCAGTTATATATAGATGCAATTGTAAGACTACACGGAGTCCCTGTGAGTATCGTTTCGGATAGAGATCCTCATTTTGTGTCTAGATTTTGGAAAAAAATTTCAAAAAACCTTGGAAAACAAACTCAACCTTAGTACCACTTATCACCCCCAAACGGATGGACAATTGGAGCGAACCATTCAAACCCTTGAAGACATGTTACGGACTTGCATCTTAGATTTTGGCGGTAATTGGGGTCAATTTATGATTTTAGTAGAGTTTGCCTACAATAATAGTTACCATTTGTCCATTCAAATGGCATCGTATGAAGCCCTCTACGGACGAAAGTGTCGCTCACTGATTTATTGGGATGAAGTTGAGGGAAAAAAGGTTCTAGATCCAACAACCGTTCCTTGGATGGAGGATGCACAAGAAAGGTTAAGTTGATCCGTCAAAGACTCCAAACTGCTCAAAGCCGACAAAAAAGCTACGCGGACAACCAAAGGAAAGATTTGGAGTTTGAAGTTGGAGACCGTGTTTTCCTTAAGATCACGCCACTACGAAGTGTCACTGCGGGTAGAGGAAAGAAACTTCAACCTCGGTTCATAGGACCTTATATGATTCTTCAACTAGTTGGAAAAGTGGCGCATCGACTCGAGTTGCTGCTAAGTTTATCTCGAATTCATGACGTCTTTCATGTCTCAATGCTCAAAAAGTATTACCCCAATCCAATTCACATCTTACAACCGGACGAGATTGAGATAGATGAATCACTCACCTATGAGGAAAAACCTGTACAGTGTGAGAACCCGTATTTCCCTAATATTTTTCCTAGGGTTTTCCCCCTTAATTGCATGTTTTCTGCATTTTCTGGCTTAGGAATATTTTTTTGGTGGATTTTATGAATAATTATAGTTTTTAGATAATTTTTCTAGTATTGGAGAGTTTTTAGAAAATTAAGAATATATATTGAACGTGGGACCCACTAGTGCGAAAAGTTCGGAAAAATTCGGCCAATAAGGTTAAGTTTCGGATACTGTGTGAAATTTATCGGGTGTTAAGAGATAAGTAGGGAGTGGGATTTGATTGATGGGAGAGGAAAAAGAAAGATAAGAATGCATTTAAGAGGTGACAAGTGTCACTCTCTTATTGGTTATACTTTATGATTTACTATTCATGTTTTTGACTTTTGACCAAAATGGTTAAATATCTTAAAAATTGCACAAAAATTACCATTTCTTACCTCCTCCATAGCCGGCTCTCTCTCTTGCCAAGAAGGAAGAAAACTTCTTCAAACTTCAAGCTTTCAACTAGCTCAAATCATCCAAACCAATTGCCTAAACTAGTTTCTACTCCATACAACCTTTCCATTTGGTGTTAGTGGTGAGTTTGGTGAAGTTTTTGGAAGAGCTAAGGTGGTCTACAACTCCTCTTCTCTTGTATACTAGGTAAGTGATGATTGAACATACTCCTACACCTAATGATGCTTAAGTTATGCTTAGTAGTGGCTAAAGTGATGATATTTGTGATTTATTTCTTGATTTGAAGTGATTTGGTGAAGTTTTTATATTTTTGAGGAATTTTCTGGTTTAATATGAATGTGATGTTGTGGTCATCTATGATGGTTGATAATGAGGGGGAAAGACTCTAGTAGGTGTGAATTAGTGATAATTGCAACCAATTTTGGGTTTGGATTGAATTGTGGAAAGTTAGGGTTTTATCATCCCTTATTCTGTCCGGTTTTGGATCATAGGGTTAGAGGCCGAATTGGACTTTGCTTAAAACATGAAAGTTGTAGGTATTGATGTGTTTGAGGTGACTGTAAAATTTCAGGTCATTTGGATTAGTGTAGAGTGAGATATGTCGATTTTACTGTGGTTGTTCTGGGTTGATCAGGATGGCAGAACTGCGTTTGTATTTGGCTATTTTGACTGGAATTACTTTGGATTTGGATATTGGTGTCTTCTGATGAAATATAGAGGGATGTCTTAGCTACCATATGCCTTTGGAATCAATGCATTTGGACTTGTATAGACAGAGTTGGACTCATTACAGCATTATGTGATTTGCAAACCTGTTTTGGTAATTCTGGTTTCGTATTTTGCATATTTGACCTAGTTGTCCTAGGATTTGGACTGAGTGGCCTTCTACATTGTTGTAGCCCTGTTTCTTAGCTTCGAAACGGTGGGTCTTACACCCCCATCCGATAACCGTAGTGGATTTGGTGCCATTACCGCATATTGAGGTCAAATACGGTTTCTTTGTTAAGGCTTAAGCTAAAGCCATTTCTTAATTTCTGGTTACCAATGATGCTTATTTATGCATATAAACCCTATTGGGGGTTATGATTGGCATTGCTATATGACTCGTTATCGAGTCTCATTGCATTTGTTTACGTGTTCTAGGGCGTGACGGTGGTTCACGATGCACTTTTGATCACGGTGCATGAAATATCACTTTCTTGAGTGGTGAGTATACTACTCACTTAAATGTTACAATGTGGCTTTGTTATATGTGAAATTGATGCCTTGAAGGCTTATTTGGCTATTGGAAGTGATTGAAGTGAGGGTGTACTTGACCGCCCTCACCCCCTTGTGATTTCATTCATGACTGCTTACTGTTTTACTGAAATACTGCACATGCTATATGAGACATTGAATTACTGTCATGGAAAACTGATTTGGTGTCGTTTGGATGAATATCCAACGGCCTTACTATATCACTGAGCTCAACCCCGTTAGGTGGTCAATTGGATCGAGCCGGCGAGAGCTTGGTCGTGAAAATTGACATGCCACGGGGACTGTACTGGGGAATCTTGTAGTAATGAGACTCTCGATTCCGGTAAACTCGAGTATTACCAAAAGATACTGAATGGAGTGCGGGCCCGGTTGGGGTATGTTGGGTGGAAGGAATGGAAGTAAAGTGATGTCTACGGTTTGGTACTTTTAACATTGACGGAGGGTCAATGAGGTTGGATCAAGAAAATAAGCAAGGAAATGGGCTCTTGAGAGCCGTCCGTATCCTTTCATTGATTTGATTTACTTCTTATTTGCATACTTGAACTGAATGGTTATGCTTATGTGACTTAGTTGCTATTGTGGTAGTAACTCACTGAGTTTTAGCTCACTCCGTTCCATTTGTTTTCCTTACAGGAAAATGATCATTTTTGGAAGATCATACTTGTTGGTTGCCAAATTGAGCCATGTATATGTCTATTTTGAATAGCTCTTCGCATGAAACCCTAATGTGTATTGGGTTCATCTTTTGATTGGCAAACCGAACATTGTATAACCATGATAACTAGTTTTGGCATGCCAATTTGGTTGTAAATGTTGAATTTCAATGTATGTATATGTTGGATTGATATATGGTTGAACTCCGGATTCTGGTGTGTCCGGCATTGTTCATTATCGGCGCGTTTTCATTTTATTTATTTTGTGATTTTGACTTGATCGCGCGCGTGGGTATGTTCTGGACCGTATTAGATCGACGTAAACTGATCCGTTAGTCCTGGCGAGAGCTGGGCAGGCAGTCCGCTAACCCCTTTGGTTCGCCTTAGGGGAAGGTGGGGCTGTCACAGGTGGTATCAGAGCCTAGGTTTGAATTAGCCTGGGTGCAATAGAAGTGATTTACTTGAGGGTTTCGTTGCTTATGCTTTTGAGTTTATTCATGTGATTTCCTTCCTTTGATATAGGATGGACGCGAGTGGTGACCCGAGTGACCGCCCGGCAGGAGATCGTCCTCGTAGCGGGCTACCGCCAATTAAGTATCAGATCAGGCAGAATGGGGCCGTGGTGCGTTGGAGCCCGGCCAGCCGCCTCCGACAGTGTGAGTGCCGTAGCAACTACTACGCCTATCCGAACGCTCTAGTGTTGGCGGTGGCGAAGGAGCGTGAGGAGCTAGCGGATGATAATGCTAAGCTGGAAGCTGGGGTTGCCAAGTTGGAGGCCGAGGTGGCTCAGGTTAGGGCGACCAACGAGAAGCAAGCCTCGCGTATTAAAGAGCTAGAATATGACGTGCTTGAGGTCGAGGACAGAGTTGATGACCTATGTGACCAATTAAGGCAGGCACGAGAGCGCGAACTCAAGCGAGCTCGTAAAGTCAGGGGTCGCGCTGAGGCGATCCTTAATCTGTGTGATGTTGGGCTCGAGGAGGATAGCGATGAGGCCTCGTGTGCGGGGGCCGAGGCTGGGGAGGAGTCCACCCCGTCGCCTGGGTCTAGGGCTGCAAACGAATCGAGCCGCTCGCGAGCGGCTCGAGTCAAGCTCGAGTCGAGCTCGAGATTAATCGAGCTCGAGTCGAGCTCGAGCCAGCTCGAGTCAACCTCGAGCTCGAACTCGAGTTCAGATTATTAAGCTCGTTAGCTCGCGAGCCGGCTCGCGAGCTTGAGTATATATATTTATATATATTTTTTATTTTTATTTAATAATAAAATTACGTATATTATATATAAATATATTTTAATTTTTTATTTTCATAGCGAAATTACGTATATATCCTTAATATTTTATTATTTATTCAGAAAAAAATATTATTTTTTTTTATTTTTTTAAAAATAAAATAATTTTTTTTTATTTTTTTCGAGCTCGAGCTCGAGCTCGAGCTCGGCTCGACTTGATTCGAGTCGAGCTCGAGCTCGAAAATTGCCAGCTCGTCGAGCTCGAGCTTGGTAAAATTTAGTCGAGGCTCGGCTCGATTAGCTCAAAGCTCGACTCGGCTCGGCTCGTTTGCAGCCCTACCTGGGTTCCAGACCCCAGCGACTGACTAGGCCTTGATTTTTAGGCATCTTTTGGATAGTTGGCAGTTTTTGTATGTACATAAGGATAGGGATAGAGCCTTAGCTAACCGTTTTGGGTTGGGTTAGCTACGTGTAAATCTCTTTTGATAGGCCAATCCTCGGGTGGATCGTTTATGTTCGTACGTGCTTTGGCCGTACTTGACTTGACGGATTGTATATATGTGTGTGGCTTGATCTTGTCTGGCTTGTATATAAGTGCTTGTGATCATGTTTGAAATGTATAAATATGTGTTATTGTGAAAGTTTTGCGTGTTACTTATATGTCTTGTTACTACTTTGGTTTAGTACTCTTGCCTAGACCAAGAAAAACCTATGGAAGGAACACGAAGTGGTCGGGGACGTGGGCGCGGATCTAGACAACCCACACCGGTTACGGGTACGGGGGAAACCTCTACTGGACCCAATCCTGAACCCCAAATAGACCCCAATGTGCAAATAGCTACTGCTATGTAGCAAATGACTAACCTACTCGCACAAGTAGTGCAACAACAGGGCCAAAACCCAAACCCTAACCCCGGGAACCCTGGTAAACATGTCGAGAGCGAAGATAGAGCCCTCGAACGTTTTCAAAAGTTTTCCCCGCCAAAGTTTGTTGGGGGACCCGACCCTGACATTGCTGAGAAATGGCTTGAGAAAATGGTTGATTTATTCGCGGCCCTACACTACCCTGACGAACGGCAGGTCACTTTTGCTGTGTTCCAGCTTGAGGGCGCGGCTCGTTCCTAGTGGAACGTAATTAGACAGAAATGGGAAAGGGAGCAGACACCCAGGACTTGGGTGAACTTCATTAGAGAGTTTAATGCAAAGTTTTTCCCTCCTCTAGTCCAGGAGAGGAAGGAGGACGAGTTTATTAGGCTCCGTCAAGGGGCTCAAACTGTGGCGGAATATGAGGGCCAATTCACCCGCCTGTCCAAGTTCGCACCTGAGCTAATCATGACTGAGCAACGACGGATTAGGCGCTTTATCCAGGGGTTGAACGTTGAGATTCAGAAAGACCTCGCGGCGGCTCAGATTACTGCGTTTAGCGAGGCTGTGGAAAAGGCCCAGCGAGTTGAAAGTGCGCGGTTGCAGGTCCGAAACTTCCAGGCGAAGAAGCGTGGCTTTCTTGGGAGTACTTCCGGACAGGGTGAGAAGAGCACTCCCTCTAAATTTGGACGAGGAACGGGAGGTGGTCGACAATTTGGTTCAGGCAGAGGTACTCCATTCAGGGGTGGCCAAACTGGGCGAGGACCGAGGGGAAATGCTCAGAGTGGCTCGGCTTCAGCATCTCGCGGTCCCTACGGGCATTGCGGGAAGTCAAACCACAACGAAGATAACTGCTGGAGGAAACAGGGTAAATGTCTGCGTTGTGGAAGCGCAGACCACCAATTGGCTACTTGCCCTGTCCTGAAACAAGATGGAAAAGAAAGCCAACTGCCGCCGAGGACCAATACTGGACCAGCCAAGGGAGATGGGTCCAAACCTAAAGTGCCAGCTAGGGTGTACTCTATAGAGCCCCATCAGGTCCCAGAGTCTTCGGAGGTCGTAGAAGGTACGATCCCTATTTTCCACCGTTTTGCCAAAGTTTTAATTGATCCTGGTGCCACTCATTCGTTTGTTAACCCTGATTTCATGTGTGGCATCGATATAAAACCTGCTAGTTTACCATATGACCTAGAAGTTAGTACACCTACGGGGAATCAACGTTTGGTGACTAGTATGGTTTATAAGGATTGTGATGTATGGGTAGGTGAAAGGAGATTTTTAGGAGACCTGATTAGCTTGTCCATTAAGGGGTACGATGTGATTCTGGGTATGGACTGGCTAGCCAAATATAACGCCCAACTGGATTGTAAAACGAAAATAGTAGAATTTCGCATTCCTGGCGAGGCAACCTTAAGATTGGATATAAGGGGTAGGTTAGCCTCATCTGCTTTAATTTCGGGCATCCGAGCTAGGAAACTGATAAGTAGAGGGGCGCAAGGATTTTTGGCATTTTTGATTAATACCCCTATGGATAAGTTAAAAGTGGAAGATGTGGCCGTAGTAAGGGAATTTCCGGATGTATTCCCTGATGAGTTAGTAGCCTTACCTCCGGAAAGAGAGATAGAATTTCGAATAGACCTGTTGCCTAGAACCGCACCTATCTCGAAAACCCCTTATCGAATGGCGCCTGCAGAACTTAAGGAGCTTAAGTTGCAATTGCAAGATCTTTTGGAGCGGGGATTCATTCACGAGAGTGGGTCTCCTTGGGGAGCTCCTGTCCTATTTATGAAGAAAAAGGACGGAACCTTGAGGATGTGTATTGACTACCGGGGGCTGAACAATGTTACAATCAAGAATAAATATCCACTGCCCCACATCGATGAGTTGTTCGACCAACTGCAAGGAGCAGTGGTCTTCTCCAAGTTGGACCTCCGACAAGGATACTATCAGTTGTTAATAAGGAAGGAGGATATTCCGAAAACTGCTTTTAACTCAAGATACGGGCATTACGAGTTTGTCGTTATGCCCTTTGGACTGACAAATGCTCCCGCCGCCTTCATGGACCTAATGCACCGGGTTTTCAAACCCTATCTAGACCGATTTGTCGTTGTGTTCATCGATGACATTTTGGTCTATTCTAAGACACGCGAGGAGCATGAGGAGCATTTGAGAGTGGTGTTACAGACATTAAGGGAACATCAGTTGTACGCCAAGTTTAGTAAATGCGAGTTTTGGTTGGAGAAAGTAGCATTCCTAGGGCACGTAATCTCTCACGAAGGTATTGTGGTGGACCCGGCGAAGGTGGAGGCCGTGATAAATTGGAAGAGGCCAGAAAACCCCACGGAAATTCACAGTTTTCTAGGGCTAGCTGGGTACTACCGAAGGTTCATTAAAGATTTCTCCAAATTAGCCGGACCTTTAACTGACCTGACGAAGAAGCATGGTCAATTTATCTGGAACGCCCGATGCGAAACAAGTTTTCAGGAGCTAAAGAGAAGATTGACCATGGCTCCAGTGCTAGTTTTGCCAAATGGGGTGGACGGGTTTGCGGTGTATGCCGACGCGTCGCGAGAAGGCCTGGGGTGCGTACTGATGCAGAACCGGAATGTGATTTCTTTCGCCTCTAGGAAATTGAAGCTTCACGAGCAGAACTACCCGACTCACGATCTGGAACTAGCCGCAGTTGTCTTTGCACTGAAAAAGTGGAGGCATTACCTATATGGGGTGACCTTCGAAGTGTATTCGGATCACAAAAGTCTTAGGTACCTTTTCTCTCAGAAGGAACTGAATATGAGGCAACGACGGTGGATGGAATTCCTGGAAGATTACGACTGCACAATCAATTACCATCCGGGAAAGGCAAATGTGGTAGCAGATGCTTTGAGTCGTAAGGTGCAAGTAGCAGGATTGATGATTAAGGAGTGGGATTTATTAGAATCCGTGTGCGAATGGAGACCCTGTCTTGGGAGCCATAAGGTGATATTTAGCAATGTTAGGGTGACCTCCATTCTACTGGAACGCATTAAAGAGGCGCAACGCGAAGATTTGATGGTACGGAAGTGGAGAGAGAAAGTGGAAAAGGGAGAAACTACGGACTTCAATTTGAGTCCTGAGGGCATTTTGAAATATTGAAACCGAATAGTGGTACCGAAGGAGGAATCGTTGAAAACGGAAATTCTGGAGGAAGCTCATCGGTCCAAGTATACAATCCATCCGGGTAGCAGCAAGATGTATCAGGACCTAAAAGGAACCTATTGGTGGGACAATATGAAGAGGAAAATCGCTCAGTACGTGCAGAAATGTCTCATTTGCCAACAGGTGAAAGCAGAGCATCAAAAATCATCGGGTTTGTTACAACCCTTGGAGATACCCGAATGGAAGTGGGAAAACATCACAATGGACTTTGTTTCAGGATTACCGAGGATGCAAAGGGGACATGATGCCGTTTGGGTGATCGTTGATCGATTAACCAAATCGGCCCATTTCTTGCCGGTGAACATGAAGTATTCAATGGACAAGTTGGCCCGACTGTACATGGACGAGATAGTAAGACTACACGGTGCTCCTGTGAGCATCGTCTCTGATCGGGATCCATGGTTCGTATCTCGGTTTTGGCAGAAGTTTCAAGAAATTCTGGGGACTAAACTCAATTTGAGCACGACCTATCATCCCCAGACGGATGGCCAGTCGGAACGGACCATTCAAACTCTCGAGGACATGCTACGAACTTGCATTCTGGACTTTGGAGGCAACTGGGGTCAGCACATGACCTTAGTAGAGTTTGCGTACAACAATAGCTTCCATTCGTCGATTCAAATGGCTCCGTACGAAGCCCTATACGGACGCAAGTGCCGGTCGCCGATTTATTGGGACGAAGTTGGTGAAAAGAAAGCTCTAGACCCAGCAACTATTCCATGGATGGAAGAGGCTCAGGAGAAGGTCAAATTGATACGGCAACGAATCCAAACAGCTCAAAGTCGACAAAAGAGCTACGCAGATAACCGAAGAAAGGACTTGGAGTTTGAAGTTGGAGACCACGTATTTCTCAAGATCACACCCTTACGAAGTATCACGGCGGGCAAAGGAAAGAAACTTCAACCGCGGTACGTCGGACCCTACAAGATCCTTCAGAGGGTTGGAGCGGTCGCGTATCGATTGGAACTGCCATCCAGTCTCTCTCGAATCCACAATGTGTTTCACGTCTCAATGCTAAAGAAGTATCATCCTGACCCATCCCATGTATTACAACCAGAGGATATCGAAGTGGACGAATCGCTTGCCTATGAAGAGAAACCGGTCCAAGTGCTCGATCGGAAGGTCAAAGAGCTCAGAAACAAGCGGATTCCGCTAGTGAAAGTACTATGGAGGAACCATGGGGTAGAGGAAGCTACCTGGGAAGTGGAAGAGGAAATGCGAAAGAAGTATCCAAACCTTTTCGGGAATTAAGGTGAGAAATTTCGAGGACGAAATTCTTTTAAGGGGGAGAGAGTGTGAGAACCCGTATTTCCCTAATATTTTTCCTAGGGTTTTCCCCCTTAATTGCATGTTTTCTGCATTTTCTAGCTTAGGAATATTTTTTTGGTGGATTTTATGAATAATTATAGTTTTTAGATAATTTTTCTAGTATTGGAGAGTTTTTAGAAAATTAAGAATATATATTGGACGTGGGACCCACTAGTGCGAAAAGTTCGGAAAAATTCAGCCAATAAGGTTAAGTTTCGGATACTGTGTGAAATTTATCGGGTGTTAAGAGATAAGTAGAGAGTGGGATTTGATTGATGGGAGAGGAAAAAGAAAGATAAGAATGCATTTAAGAGGTGACAAGTGTCACTCTCTTATTGGTTATACTTTATGATTTACTATTCATGTTTTTGACTTTTGACCAAAATGGTTAAATATCTTAAAAATTGCACAAAAATTACCATTTCATACCTCCTCCATAGCTGGCCCTCTCTCTTGCCAAGAAGGAAGAAAACTTCTTCAAACTTCAAGCTTTCAACTAGCTCAAATCATCCAAACCAATTGCCTAAACTAGTTTCTACTCCATACAACCTTTCCATTTGGTGTTAGTGGTGAGTTTGGTGAAGTTTTTGGAAGAGCTAAGGTGGTCTACAACTCCTCTTCTCTTGTATACTAGGTAAGTGATGATTGAACATACTCCTACACCTAATGATGCTTAAGTTATGCTTAGTAGTGGCTAAAGTGATGATATTTGTGATTTATTTCTTGATTTGAAGTGATTTGGTGAAGTTTTTATATTTTTGAGGAATTTTCTGGTTTAATATGAATGTGATGTTGTGGTCATCTATGATGGTTGATAATGAGGGGGAAAGACTCTAGTAGGTGTGAATTAGTGATAATTGCAACCAATTTTGGGTTTGGATTGAATTGTGGAAAGTTAGGGTTTTATCATCCCTTATTCTGTCCGGTTTTGGATCATAGGGTTAGAGGCCGAATTTGTGACGCCCAGAAAAATAGGGTTTTCATTTTTATGTATATTTTGTTGGATGAGCGGGGAAACACAGCTTTTCAACTCGGAAAAGAAAAGAAAAGTTTCGAAAAATGGCAGTGGCCAAATCCGGCCGGAAATCCGGCCAGTTTCTGGCCGGATAGCTGGCCGGATTGCCCTGCAGTTTTGAAAAAATTTTGATCAGCCTCGGCCTTGTATCCGGCCAGGAATCCGGCCGGAAATCCGGCCAGATTCCGGCCGGATTGTGACGTGTCACAGCCGGTCAGAAGCTTTGACCGGCTGTTTCCTTCATAAATATCTGGTTTTTGTTGTCTTTTTCTTCCATTTCTGTTCCTGCTCAACCGAGGCTTTGAGAGAAAGAAAAACTCTTCAATTTTCTTGCTTTGATTTCTTGCTCA